ACAATTAAAGTAGATATTAATTTATGATTCTTTTATCAATCTTGTGTTTTTAATTATTTTCATTCATAAATTCAATAGTTTAGAAGGAGGTACTATTAATAAAACTCACAGGTACGATTTAAGCGACCGGTTTGCTGAATCGTGCTTTTGACAGCATTTTACAAAAAAGCTTAGAACAAATTAATTTGCTATTAGTGAAAGATTTAACATGTAATATTAGATGCCTTGAACATTAAGCTATAATTTTCAATGTTTGTTTGCATTCTAAATAGTACCAAATGTGAAATATAATCAACAATATCTTAAGTGGTACGCATTCGGCAACTCTCCCCTATATGTATTAATTGACATACTCTGTATTAATTAACGGAAGTCTGTATTATAGAAATTTTTTATTCATATAGATAACATCAATTTCACATTTTTTAATTATTTTTAGATTTTATTTTTATTGCCTGTTTTTCCAGTTGCTAATTTTACATTGCGCTTGCTCAGTTGTACTTTCTCCATTGCATTCATTAATTATGTATAGCAACTCTCTCAGGTCGATATCAAGACATTCGCTTTTTTCTTAGCTGGTCTCTTTGTCCGTCTATATATCACTTTCTAAAACACATCATGCAATCTTGAATCTTGTGCTTTCAACGAGGATTGCCAATCACACAAATAATCCGTTAATTCTTAAACATTGAAAAATTAATGTTTCAAAAAGATTAAGCAAAAATCAATTTGTCAAAAAGTTTAAAAAGTAACAATTATAAAAAAAACAAGAAAATATTAATTTATTTCATTATTTTATTATACTTATTACTGTAATAGTGAAAAATTAGAAATTGGTTAAGTTTTATATTCTAATTTTAAAAAAGATTTAAGAACATAAAATTTAATCAAACATATTACAATAAAAGCCTATGAGAGCTAACACGGAGTCGATGTGTAATATTTTTTTAAATAAAATTTAATCTAATTTTAATATATAAGAATTATCAGGAGATAAATTTTCACTATTTAAGAATAGATCATCATACAAGTAAAAATATATTTTTTTTAAAGAAATATAAAAAATAAAAATTTGAAGGTTATTTTAATAGAATCGTTTATCAATTCGGACTTTGTATTATAGTATCTTCGTTTACGAAGCATGAGAAGTGAAAATGCAGATATTCTCGTTATGTAACAGGAATCTCAGCTATCAATTAAACTTAATTGATTCCAGACCTTATTGAAATACGATTTAAGACAATTTTAACTAAAGGTCACAGCGTATAGCGTAGCAAAGACGATCCATTTTTACTATTTGCCACATATAACTTGGAAGTTGTATCTTTTGATTTCTAATTTATATCTTTGGATTTCACAAGAATGTTTCTTTTGAAATTCTTATTTCTAATTCTCTTAAAAATTATATATATAAAGAAATTCATTGGACAATTTGTATTAAAATAATATGTAATTTATATACATGAACACAAAATCGAAATAGGATGAATAAAAAATGGTGAGAGAACGGGCGGGTTGGTTGCATAACCAGGAAACCATCTAAATAATATTTCTTCAGGAAGAAGAACCAAGTTGCGAGAGTCGCGCGCAAGTTTTAACGAGATGGCGGAACGAGTTTAGTTCACAGCGAGGAAAAGAAAAACGACGAAGACGACGACGACGGCGGCAGGAAGAACGATATTTCTTCGTCGTTCGTTCGCCTTTCTCTTCACCCTCACGTTTCACCCACAGTCTCGGGCCGATCGTACTATTTTCCTTATCTCTTTTCTTCTTCTAACTCTCCATTTACCTGCAATCCAATGTGATTCACGAATACGGATTTAATATCGTCCAAGAAACGGAGATAAAGGAGAAACAAGTGATGAAAAATGGTTCATTGAATAAAGTAAACGGTGTATTGGATACGTTAAGGACATGCTGTTAAACATTCAATTAATGATCATTCTGTTGAATTGAAGAAATCGGTTTTCGGCATGTTTTCAGTAATTTGTCGCTATAGGTAGAAGACCTGCGTACGCATTAGAGCGTAATCTACTATATATGAGTGGATCGCGAGTGACGATGTCATGCGATGAGCGCGTAAACATAAAATGGATTTCGCAATAAACGATCCGCGGAATTAGGTGTAATAAAATGATTAATGGCACGTATAAATCTAGTTTATGTGCAACAGCACCTGTTCTATTTTGCCAAATCGCACGAATCATGCGAATTATGGCTGTGTTATTCAAATTTCGATTTGACACTGCCGTTAGTTATTTCGGTCACGATTCTTTAATAATAGTAAAATAAACTACACACAGGCAGGTTGAATATACTATAGCAACACTGACGATCGATAGCCGAGCGTGTTTCTTCAAAGGAAAATTCCTGACGCTATTAAATCCAATTTCAAAACTTTTATTCTCCCTACCACCACGTGCGCCACGGCAAATTTATTTTCCTTCCCCTTTGTGAAGGGGAATAAATTGCTAAAAGGATTCCGAACAATATAACGCTATTTATCATCCACCAAGGGACGTTGGAAGGTTGATTCTTTGATTCCACTTCCACATCGACCTCTCCTTTCCTTCGAAACGGTCCTTTCCCCGAAACTTTTTATCTTCATCGTTCTTTTGATCGTTTCACATACAGAGATGTACAACAACTAAAAGTTAAACCTTTTCATTTATTATCAGAATTCGCTAACGAAGAAAAATCACGTAAATTTGTAAACGTAATATTTCACCGAGATGGAAGATATAAATTTTTGCTTTCTACGAAACTTGTGGAACAAAATTAAATCCAATTCACGTACATAATTTATTTGTTACAGACATTTCATACACCGAGTTTCGGTGACGAGGACTTTGACATACCAACCATTCATCCTCATTCGCATCAGCAGCAGCAGCAACATCATCAGCAACATGACTCCATGCAAGCATATGGTCAACCACAGGTATGCTTCGATTCGATAAAATGTTGAATGTTAAAATGAGCATATTCTGTCTAAATATATATGTTACGTTAGTACATCCAAGTTTTAAATTAAATTTTTATATAAAGATATACTATTTTGCTATTAGTATCTTTTCTTCGAAACCTTTTAATTTTAATTTGGTTTCTCGTATATTTCTACATATTTTTTCCATTGTTTAAATCATTGAATTTTTATCTTCGTAAAATATTAAAAATATTATAAATTATGCTTAACAATACGTAATAATATACGCATTTATACATGCGACCATTGGACGTGAAGAAGAAAAAGAAAAGAAAAAAAAAGAACGATGTCAGAATGATATATCAGCCATTTAACAACTTCCGCATTCGGGCATTATTCATGTAACGTTCAAGACATTATTTTTAGACACACGCTCATCGTTTTCTCCCTCTCGTTTCGACCTCGAGATAAAGAGATAAAGAGATGTTGAAATGCGTAGAAATTCTATAATCTTCATCAACGAGAAAAGCCTCGAGGGAAATAATTAATTCGCATAATATCCTTTCATAGCAAGACATTATTTTCAACGATTTTTTTTATAATCGTAGTATTTACTATTTATATTAATATACTATGGAAAAAAGTATGAATACTTTTTTGAATAATCGCGAAGTTACGTGGCTCTACGTATTATTTTTATGATCTGCATATTTAAGAGATTTTTATAAATTATGCAATTTTCTTATATACATATTAATATATTTATTTATATTCTTATATATGTATATCAAATCATTATATAGATGATGCAAGGTAGCGGTATGCAACAATCACCGGATGGTCTGAGCCTGGATGCTGGTGGATATCAGCAACAGCTCTATTTACAGCAAGAGCATTCGATGCAACCGATCAACGTCAGGTGAGTTCAATTCTTTAAATTATCGTTAATATTAACGGTATAAATTAGACCTTGATTTTGTGCATAAAATTTATGCACACTTTTTAGCCGTATATATCTATATACGAGCGAAATATCGTGAATCGATCAATAAGAAAATAGGAAAATAAAAACTTAGGCGAAACTTGCTTTTAATAAAATTCTAGCTCGTGACTTTGTAAATTAAGCGAGTATGAAAGTATCAGAGCGAAAGAAACTCGAGAGAGAGAGGAGAAAATAGACAGAAGGCGGAAGGGAGAGGCAGAGACAGAAGAGGAGGAGAGAGAGAGAGATTTTCAAAATATCATATCGACATTCTTTCCGTATTCTTTGAGCTTGAATAGAGCTCGAACGCGATTCGAACAGATGGCGATGATCGAAAGATTTGTATAGTCTACGTAACAAAGCAAGATTAATGAACATCGAACATTCTTGGGTATCTTATACGATCGTTCACTAATGTCACTAACACATAAAAAGCACTTGACTCGTTTGTTCCAAAACTAAAAATTATACCGCTACAATTGAGTATCATTACTTTATTATTAAGATACTTAAGTCTTTGTTTTCCATGAAAAAGAAGGTCATACCGATTAAGATTGATACGTGGGAATAAACTTGAGTCTAAAATTACGTTTCTTCTCCTAGTGCCGAGACTGTTTTGCAACGTTAATAACAATTTGCGCGTTAACTTGGGAAACTCGACGAAATTCTGCGAATGGAAAATTATTGAATTAGCGATATACTCTCTCTTGTATGTGGTACATACAGCAAACATCGCGCACTGTCGTGCAGTACCGTTTGCATAACTCCAAATTATGGAAATTCGACTTACCTCGTTACTGCGCACTGTCCTGCAGCAATTTGAGTAAAGCCAATTTTGATCGTTGCATATAGTATATGGTACATACTATAGGGAGCAAGATCTCGTTCATTTGTATATTGTTCTCGCGAAAATTATCTCCCACTTAATTTCGTAATGCTTGAGATGAATGAACGATATAAAAAAGTACATTTTTGTCTTACCATGATAACGGATGTAGAGAAGCTCAACAAAGTTGACATTATGATATGCGTTATATGTACATCAATACCAATGAAATTCTATTACGTTGAGAGTTAAGTAAATCGTCTATTACATTCTGTAATAGACTGGAACTTAATCAGCGAGAGATCGGAGAAGTCGATGCACGATTCCTATCTTTGTTTTCCCAACAATATTTTTTACACGAGAATGTTCACATTACTGCTTACTGCCATTAGGATTATGTCTCTTCTCGTATTCCTTTCTTTATTCTAGGCGAAATGAAAGAAAATCGTCCATTATATATATATATGAATGGATGTCCATTCTATATTCGTCCATTATATATATATATGCGTGTATACAGACATGTATGTGCTGCGTGCTATGTAGTATGTACTACGTGCTTACGTGCCTGCGTGCCCGCACATCTATGTGCAAGAAGTAACTGAAGCTATGATTTACCGTGTATTAAAGCCTACCAAGTAACGTTCGTGAGAACCTGCCATTACGTAGTCTTACAAACCGCAATTTAGAACGTCGAAATTTTTTTAGCGGATGAACATCTCTGAGATGGGAGATGACGCTCCGGCCCTTCGCTCAGAGATACCTTCAAGTACCGAGCGCGACTGAGCGTATTTTGCTATTCAAATTATATACTGTAATCAATCTGATTAGAGAGAGGAAAATACATCAAGTAAAAATATTCGCGATCTAAACGCGTGTTATCGATGCAGGTCGGTACGCTGTGAATCGAAGCGGACATATCGCCAATAGTTATCTACGCGTAATTATCTTGTACATAACGTGACGCATAGACCACCAATAACCATGCTCTTATATAGAATGCTGTATGCACGTATGTGTAGCTGACGCAACCTTATAGATAGGTCGACAGATAATATTTGCAGCAAATATCGTAAATATGCAGTATAAATAGTTATTGAGATATATAAAAGTATTGCTCATGCGACGATAATCAATTGTCAAATAACGGTTATACATAATTAGTAAATTTTATAAGCTACACTCATTATACATATAAAAGAATAAATAAATCGATATAAAAGGACATCGAAAATATCTTTCTTAACGAGTTTTTTTCTTTCCGATATCATGAATCTTAATTCAGGAATAGTTATCTAATTTTTCTTTATAAACGATCATTTATGGAGTATTTTTTTTTATTCCAATTAAAAGTCACTGTTATTAAATATTATGTATTAATTATTCTACAATTTATTATTTGAGACCATTATGTATGTTGAGTTATTTAATATTTTTATTAAAAAGTAAGAAGAAATTTAAAAAAATAGACTAATTCCTGATCAGTAAAGAAAACATCTATTACAATTCATTTTCTTCTTGCTAAAGTATAAAAATTATCTCAGGTGACTATTCCCGGGTAAAGGAGAGAATGAAATTGTGATCAAATCAAAACTACTTATATATGTTTTTTTTAATCACTAGATAAACATGTACATTTGAATCTTTTTTTTATTGGTTATATTTTGATTTTGATACTTTTTTTATTTTAATTATGTTTTGAAAAAATTATTTTTTTCTGATTTTATTCCTAATTTTTAACAAAAATTACCTTTTTTTTTAAATAGAACGATCTAATTTAGTCTTTTCTAAAAGATTTATTTCCTAGTGTAATTAAAAAGAATTATAAAAATTAGTTTAGTATTTATCAAGGAAAAGAGAGAGAAGTAAGTACATAAAGATAAAAAGATCTGATTTTATAAGAGAGCGCTTCAAAGGTTTTGATATACTATTTGGCATCACAATGTTTACATCTCTTGGATTTTGGAATAATATACATATTCTTTTTCTTTTTTTATTTCCAAGCTACAAATAGAGAATTTACCATAAATATATTGAAATATATCATACAAAAGATTACACATACAGATTATTTTAAAAAATAAAATAAACATAGAGTATTATTAAGAATAAGAATGTAATCTAAAGTATTATTTTTATTCGCGTTTTTATTGCATTTTTTATGATGTTTGTTCCAAGTTGATTTTTATTTTTATCGTGTGTACAAACTTTATTGTTTTTATTGATATTTTTTTCATTTTTATTAATATTTTATAGTTATAATAGTACCATATATAAAGTTTAGTTTATACTTATGAAATACAGTTTTAGCTGTATTTTATACAATATTTAATATTTTTTTAAATTTAATGAAACACAAAATATAAAATAAATTTGCATTGTTACATAAGAAATATGTCTATTTATTTTTTTAATTTTTGTTGGCAGTTTAGCTGTTGAAGAACTGTTAATAATAAAATTTAATGCATAGTATGAATAAATTAAATTTGAGATAATATTTCAGATAATATTTTGCCAGAATTTTATTATTTAATCAAAAAATGCTTAATTATTTAATAAAGTAATGTGTAGCAAAGAATCAATTTATATACTTACCACAAACTTAATTTCTCCAAAATGCTATTTTTTATTTTTATGCGTATACAAACTGCATACAAACTTTTTTATACATATATATGTTATATATAGAAACTGGAAGAAAAACTATAAAATCGATGTTCCATGTTATTCGGTCATGGTACACTGTAGCCAAAAAATAGTGAAAATATTAGAAATACTTGAGTTGAAGTCAGACTTGAAGGATACAAGAGAGTAGAATGAGCCGCGTAATTCACCGACGTTGATGTAGGTGACGCAGCGCTGCCTATATCTCAAAAATTACTTATTTTAATTTGCATTAAAATAGTGAAAGTATTGTGCACCTGGTATTCACTTTCTTTCCATTAATTTCACCGTCATTTCTCAATACATATACTCTGTGCCAAACGAGATTTCCATTGCCGTTGCGTAGATTCACGAACTTAAGGCATGCAAACTTTTAACGCTTTACATAAAGTAACGTTTGCAAACAAGTTTCTTTTTTTTTTCTTAGTATCCGAAAATCACAATATATCCAATGTGATCACTTGCAATTTACAGTCATTTCAATCTCATTGAAATCTCAGAGACTAAATAAAAGCAACGACGAATAGATAAATTAACAATATTTGTATTAGCAGATATTATAAATTACAGTTTTAATTATTTACAAACAGATTCTATTTCTTAATATTGCGATTATCTGCATATTTCGAAAAAAATTATAAACGAAACTTCTTTTTTGTTTACTTATAGTTCGGCGTATGGCACTTCTCAAGGTTCATACACGACAATGAGTTCTCCGCGCCAGCAGCAACAACACAGCGGCCAACAATTGTTAATGTTGCAACAGCAACAACAGCAGCAACAGGTTCAGATGCAACATATGCAGTATATGCATTCTCAGCAGCAGCAGCAGCAGCAGCAGCAGCAGCAACAATTACAACAGCAACAACAACAACAACAACAACAACAAATGCAATACAGAAGTCCTACTGGAGGCAGTCCAACTACTATGCAAGCCAACAATATCCCGGAGACGAATAATAATACTACGACTAGCGAAGATAGCGATGATAGCACTCCACATTCTGGAATGGTGAGTCAAATCACGGATGGTATACGCAATGTTTTGCTCAAGTAATTTGTCTCTCAAATAGATCTTTTAAGATAGAAAATCTAGAAGCTAATAATAATATGTTATATGTTTGGAAGCATATGAAGCAAATATATATAGTACACAAATTAGAATTAAGCATAAGAACAGATAAAAATGTTAGATCAATTTGTTTTGTATCGTACATACATACTTATATTTTATATTATATATATATATATATATATATCGATATACATCGATATATACATATATCTCAGTCATTATTTACATTTTATTAAAGGCTAATAATATCTACGTGTTACATAATGCATAATACATAATAATATATAAATATTGTATATATATGTAAAATAGCTTTTTTAGCGATTTAGTTTAGCATTTTTGTATAATCAGTGTTTTTCGCATTAATATCATTTTTTCGAAAAGGATTGCAAATCAATAAACAATTAATAATTTTTCTACATATTTGATAGTTTATTAAAAGAGATTCTAGACTCTCTCCTAAGTATCTTTTCCTACCTCAGATTGCAATGGTTAAGCGTGAGCCACCGTCGCCAGAACCAGCTGACGTTGGAGCGAAGAATCAAAGAAAAACGAAACCACAGAAAAAAAAGAAGAAGCGAGATCCTAACGAGCCACAGAAGTAAGTAACACACTATTTTAATTTTTATAAAATAGTAAAGCAATTTAAAATATAATCTCTATTATAAGCTGGATCCCTCACCATCAATCAAGTTCAAACTTATTAAAAAATTTAGTTATGCGCTATTGCTCTAATCACAATTTTATTGTTTAAACCGTTTAGCAAGAAATCATGTTTAAAATGGAAGAGGAGAAAGGCAACTAGTCAAAACAAATTTGATTTGCGAGGGTTTACATAACGCCCGTTGTAAAATCTTTTTCGGAGAGATTGATGTTCAGAAATTTGTAAGAATACTGTTTTAACATTTTTTTCACTTGTTTACAATATAATATTGTTAAAAGAAATTTTTTTAAATAAGCAATAAAATTTTAGTTGCGTGCTCGCGCGCGCGTTAATATTCATATTTACATATATACGATCGATAAATAAAAGGACACAGAACATAGAACTAACGCTATATTATGTCAACGTTCTATGTTTACACTTGTAATAGTTTCACATTAATGGTAATAATAAATTACCAGTCAGTTATTAAAAATTACTTCTGCAAACTACTTATTATTATTGTTGTCATATAAATATCATGTAAAAGAATATGTAAATGTAGTATATGTTGAAATAAGCAGATATCGGTGACTCATTATAGCAAAATAGTATAAAATGGAGAGAGAAAAAGAGAGAAGGGAAAAGAAGAAAGAAAAGCACTAAAGAAAAGAAGAACACTATTTAATTACAAAAACACTGCTATTTAATTACAAAAAAGAAACATCGATTAAAATAGTAAAGCTACAAAGGTGCATTAAAAGGAATATAAGTAATTGAATGCGGTACTACAGAGACAATAAATTAAAATCTGTCAAGACACTGTCGAATTTAAATATGATTACTACGATATAGAGCGGTTGTTGTAATTTTTTTTTTTTAATATTCGAGATATTTCCTTGAATTATTACAATTGTAATACTAATGAAAACACTGATAATGTATTCTATTAAAAATTGTAATCCTTTAAATTTCTTTAAGCGTAATCATTTATGTAAAGTTTGTGTTCTAATGCTGGTGATTAATTTTTAGACCAGTGTCAGCATACGCCCTTTTCTTCAGAGATACTCAAGCAGTAATTAAAGGAAAACATCCAAATGCCAGTTTTGGTGAAGTATCTAAAATTGTTGCATCAATGTGGGATGCATTAGATCTTGAACATAAAAATGTAAGTATTTAGAAATCTTAATGATCTTACATGTTTCTTAAGCTATTATACTTGATGATTATATCGAATCGTCTTTTTGCAATTATGAAAATATTATACTTTAACATAATTATAAATTCTATTAATTTTAATACTATTATTGTTGTTGAGTTAAAGTATAAATTTTTATATAGTATTACAAAAAGAAAACCGAAGCAGCTAAGAAGGAATATTTGAAAGCTCTTGCGGCATACAGAGCATCTCTTGTGAGCAAAGGAGCGGGTGAAAATGAACAAAAACAGCAAACACAGCAGCCACAACAACAAATGCAATACAGTGGATATACAGGATATGCCAACAATACTCCGCCAGGAAATGTTACATATCAAGTCTATAGTCCTCAGCATCAACCTTCGTCGCCTCAACAGCAACATCAGCAGCAACAGCAGCAGCAGCAGCAACAAATGGCTGTTAATAAAAAGTCATCTCATCATTTAGCCATGCAAGGAAATTCTCAACAACAAGTATGATTTGGCAAATATAGTAATTAATACTAATTAATGTATTATTTGTCATAAATAAAATTGAACAATTGTTCTGTTTATCATACAATAATATTACAATAAGTAAAACATTGTTTGTGTGCCAAAAATTCTCTAAATTTTTGTTTGGTTTTTTTTTCTTTGTTTCTCTACCTATGTATAAGAATTAATTCGAACGAATACGAAGACGTTTTGTTTTTATGATTCTCACAATTGTTATATTAATAATTTAAATCATAGAAAAAAATATAAACAATTTTAACGAAGAAAATGAATATTGTTATTTTTTATAGAATTTAATGGGCAATGTAATGGCACCACCGCACATGACACAACAGCAACAGCAGCATATGCAACAGCAAATTTCACAACAGCAATACATGCAGGTACTGTCTTCATACTTTTTATTATTTAATATAAATACGATGTACTTAAGTTGGAAATATTTTCAGTGCTGTAACTAGGGCGTGCCATCGGTGCCATCGCACTGGGCGCAATTGTCAGTGGGGGCGCAATCGCGATAATAAATAATTTTTTTTTAATGAAAAGTATAATTATTTTTTTAGCAACATAAATCGCCTTCATGTAGTGCATTCTGAATAACATATTTATTATGGCAAAATAATCTACATCTATTTATAATATTTGGGTGAATGGAAATCTGGGGGGGGGGGGAGAGGGAAGGCGCAATATTTTGAGTTCACACCGGGCGCAAAAATAGCTAGTTACGGCACTGAATATTTTCTTATTATTTTACTTGCACTTTTTTATTTTTTAACTATAACTTCATCTTTAATTATTTTCTATTTTGTATGTTTTTTTCCTTTATACAATAGACGATAAATAACTTATTCTTAAATAACTTATTCTTAAGTGAACTTAATCATATTCTTCATACATTTGAATAATTCTAACATACACAGATATACTATCTGTGTAATCTTTTTTACGTTGCTAATGATATTACATTTTTCTAAAATTTATACGCTACAAAAAAGTACAAAAATTGATGTAAATTAATATATTTGAAAGCTGTTGGCTTCTTTGATTAACTAAAATTAATTAAAAACGTGAAGCAAAAAATATGAATAAGAAAATTTTACAAAATTACAAAGATATACCAAATATATAAAAAACATTCTTATTTATGTATGTACATACATACAAACATACAGCAAAAACTTGATTTAATAAGTTTATTAAATAAATATTTATATCCAAATTTTAGAAAAAATAGAAAATAAATTTATACTTAAAGTTTAATTTTTTAATTCTAGAATTATATTCTAATTTTATTTTATCTACATGAATTCAGAAAAATGTGACTTTTATAAAAATATTCTGAATCTATTTTATTTTAATATTAATAATATACATTTTTTAATTTATGTTATTTCATATTTAGTACATTTATGCAATAAAAATAATAAATTTTCAAGCATTTGTAAAAAGAGAAGGGAAAAAAGGAAAAGAAATGCAACGAAATTATTTTTCTTTAACTATTATGCCTCTTTAAGTTTTATTGAAATGTTTTCTGTTATTTGTTGTCGCCATAGACGTACTACTTACTATATGTCTATGGTTAAACATAAAAACGTATTAGTCATAAATGTCATAATGATGTAATATTCGTGGTATTACTAAAAGTTACATTTAAGCATGTTTCTAGTATATATATTTAATAAAGCTGTTTGCAATATACCAGTAAATTGGCAACAAAGTCGATGAAAATTTGCTAGAAAATTGGCATCAGTTATATCTACATTAAGTTTGTGTTTTATTGGTAGAAACTTACTGACATAAGAGATTAGTGGCAAAACTAAGCAGAATATCAGATTTTATTTTATTTCTGCTATGTCAAACTGTGTAATAAATATATCAAAGTCTACTTGATTTTTGTTATTAATTTATTATATATTATTAATAAACTTTTTTACATTTCTGGCAGCAACAGTATTATATACCAAATTCTGTATCAAATTTGTAGCCTTTATGCTACCAAAATTTATAACAAATATTAGAGAGAGACTTATTTTTGATATATTTGTCTGAGTAATAGATTTCAGTAGACAAACTCTTTGTTTTTATGTTAGAGCAACTTTAATTTCAAATAATACTAAATGTAATAATTTAATTTTTATAATGTGATCTGTGAATCAAATGATGTTAAAGTCAAATGATGTTTTACACTGTACTAATGTATTGTTTTTACAGTACATTATTTTATAATATTATTTATTTTATTTATAGGTGCCTCAACAACAAGTGCAGCAGGTACAAGTACAGCAACAACAGCAGCAACAAATACTACATACAAGTCCATCTAGAGCAGAATTTATAAAATCTGAGGATTTATCGATAAAGTCTGAAACTTTATCTAGTTCTTCGTCGCCAGTAAATCCTTCACAAGTCGCTATGACAGGACAAGGACCATCACCTTGTATACATCAGGGATGTCCTAATCCTGCTATATCTAATAATGAATGGGAAGATGAATACTGCAGCAACGAATGTGTGGTCAGCCATTGCAGGTTAGCAAGAATATTATATTCAAATTCTCTATCTTAGATTAATATGTATATTTTATATAAACTACTATATAAAATAAATAAAATCAAAGTTTATTAAATTTTATTATATATCTTTCTTTTGTATTTAATACTCTAAATAGTTGTACACTCATAATGAAGAGAAATTACAAAAGAAGCATATAAGAATAATCTGTGAATTAAAAATATATCACAATATACATTATTTAATTAACTGAAAAATTATAGAAGAAGCATACAAGAATAAACTGTGAAATAAAAATGTATCACAATATTGTATAATATTGTGATATATTTTTAATTCATAGATTATTCTTGTATAATTTTTTTATAATCTTTTTCTTCATTCTATATTTATATCTGCTTTATTGTATATTTCAGAGATGTATTTAACACCTGGGTGTCTTCAAATCAAAATCCTCAACAAAACTATTCTACAGTTAAATAAGTGTTCTACAAGAAATGAACAACAATTATTCAACATGGCCTCACAGCTTAATGGCCCGTTGTTAATCTGTAAAGTAAGATATTTAAATGCATGTATATATACACACATAAACTGGTGACTGACAACTTTTTAAGGTGTCAAAACTATTCATGCAGCAACAGAGATACAATATTAGAAAAGTTGATGGATAATTTGAAATGTGAATGATAATTGTATACAGATACGTTCTGTATGTGTGTGCATGTCGGAGAGAACAAGAAGACAAGAGAAAAAAGATAAAACGATAATAGTAAAATAAAGATAAAATTGTTTCTTTTAGAAAAAGTTCTTAGAATATATATTGAAAAGCCTTATCCAAAAACTTATTACTCTGGCCAAAGGTCTTTGTTTGTAAGGAGTGTATTATAACTTGAGTAATTTAAATAAGTGCATTTATTTACACTTATGAGAAGTTAAATAACAACCAAGTTTTTTATATTCTCAGATACTCCTTACTAACAGGCAAAGCGTGCCAATTGTACAGACGTATTTTTTTTCTAATATTATGTAGATAGTATTGCAATTTTTTAAAATTCACTGAATAAGAACTAATTTTTTTAATTAAATCAATCTCAACTGTTTCTCTAAATTTTACACATGTCATTTTGATATAGTCAACAAATAACACAGTACAAGCAGATGAAAGCGGTGTAAAATGTATAAATAAGTGCACTACGTTCAATGTGTGTTTCGTTCATGCTGTGAGAGTAATGACCAGATGAAAAGAGGACTTATACAGCAAATATTACATGCAATAGCTACTAATTGTCATGTTTTATTTTAATATATAAGATTTAAGAATAAAAATTATATTTGTTAATATATTTCTTGATTGCATATATTTTTAATTGTTCGTAATTATAAATATCTTATCTGAACTAATTATGGACATATATTTTGTACTTATTGCAAAAATAAAAAATTGAATTATGTATAATTATTAGGACACATATGTTCGTGCGATTTCCTGTGTCAGAACATTTGGTGCGAGTGTGTCGGATGCTCGTTGAAATGAAGTAGCTTCTCGAGAAGATCCGACGTCAAGATTGTCAATTCAGATAGATTGGATGCGATAGGCGAGTCGGATGGGTATCGGGTCTTCTCGAGTTATTATTTCATTTCAGCGAATACGCAGCGATACTTTCCACGCAATACGAACGTTCAGATTTTAATGATTATATAATATATATTATATAATATAAATATAATATTTTTGGTCAGTTTTATAATATGATTGTAATTCTTTACGTGTAATTTTCGAAGTAAAAAATTAAGGTCATTCTCACCTTTTAGATGTTGCATCACAAGTATCATTTTTTTTCTATGAGTAAAAAAATTTCATTTATTTTATGTAATATTTTGATCTTTTATGTTCTCCCAAGAAAGTTTATTATTCCATCTATGTTCGTAGAACATAGAATACAATCGACTGATAAACATACACAAAGCATTCATAATCGTATAATACTGTTTTCACATGAAATAAATATACTATAATACTATAGTCCATCACAGTTGTAGAAGTTAAATACTACGCATTTAGATTAGGCCCATACAAGTAAAACGGGATTTAATTACACAATTTATTTTTGTATTGATATTATAACAATCAATGGATAATACAGTACAGTTTTCATATATGAAATTTCGTACAATACACAAAAGAATGTGACATCAGAATGATCTTGACAGTGAATGCAAATCTGATATTTTTTTAAACACATATTAATATTACATCATATAAAATTTTTTCTGTTTGTTTTATTAAATATGTCTTCTCTATATTGTTTTCCAAGAAGGTGTTGCCTATATATCAATATGGCTGATATTTTAAATATTGTTGCAATGATTTAATATCTACAAATATTTCAGTTACATTGATAGGTTATGAAGAAATTATTTCAAAATTTTCAGATAAATGAAAAAGAATATATCGATTATATTCAAAATTCTTGAATTTAATAAACACGGAAAATTTGTGAAATCGCGATAAAATAAGTTATAATATCCTGCAATAGCAGAATATTATGCGAAATATATTTATTTTATCGTTCTTGAACTGCAAAAATTAAATAATTACATATTTATGTCCTCTAATGGAAATGCACTTGTAACGTAGCCTTCAAATAAATCAATATGATATAAAGCATTTTTATGTATAAAAGCAAAGAAATACATCCATATTAAATTCATCAGTAATTTTGCAATTTCGAATGCAGATTGCCTGTGTTAGGTAATGTATCACTCTGAATAGTTTGTTCCAACTGATTTCGTTTTTTTTTCCTTTCCTTTTTATATGAATTATCAAATGTTTTAAATATCTTTACTTATTGTTTAATATTCTTGTAAATATATAACTATATTCTATAGATTTATAAGTTGTAATGTAAACATAATATAGAGACTGTATTATATAAATAATACAATTGTGGTATATTATAAAGATACACATATACATGTGCATGCGTGCGCGCGCGCGCATGCGACACACACACACAGAGAGAGAGAGAGAGAGAGAGAAAATAAAAAGATAATTATACTTAATCATTTGAATAAAATAGGATATTAATTATCCAAACAGAGCCCGTTTAGGTAATGGGACTGTACAAATATGTCTATGAAGTAATAAAAAACAAGTAAACGTTGAGAAATAATACGGAAAGAAATCTTCAATTATTCAATTGTAAAGCACAGAAATTTGTATAAAAATATAAGCATGGAATGTTTCAATCACTGAAACTCGACACAATTTCACAGAATTTATAAATACTGTTTGTTCTATTATTCGAGAAATTAATGCTTATTTTTCTATATAAATTTCTGTGCAATGGGCTCACAATCTTTGAAACAAAAAACAAAAGCGCAATTTTTGCAACATCGATCATAATCATATAAATCTGTATCAGAGAAAATTTAGAAAATATCAAGCATATGTACTGTAGCGCTAGCCCTATACATCAAATACTAATATATTGCGGTAATTTCTAATAAATTTATGTTAAATTTTTCTTGTTTTATGTACAAAGATATGATTAAACGATTTCAGTCCCGAAATTATAGTTACAGAAATATTTATCATCCTGTCATCCTTATATCGGAGAAGTTGGAATTTAGAATTGAGAAATCACTGTTAATAATAATAAAATTTGAAAAGAGTTATGTATATACCATTAAGATATAAAAATGTGCATAAAATGCATTTAAGATGATTTTGATGCAATACATTTGATAAATGAAAATTATTTTGATGCAATACATTCGATAAATGAAAATTATTTTATTTTTAAGGACGTATATATTTCATTAAAAAATTGAAAAACCATATAAGTTTTACATTATTTAATTATCCTTAATCTATGGTTACCTATCTCCGTTTCTATTTTTTAAATTAATATTCTATTCCGTATAGCGTATATAATAAAAGATAGCATGTTAAATTTTTCTAACTTTTTATGCATTATAAATTAGTAAAGAGTTAAAAAATTCATTCTAAAATTTTATATTTTTGTACAAGAAAATAGAATACTACTCGTAATCTAAAAAATCTTAATCTAAAAAAATAGAAACACTCAAAATTGTTCGATATTTTTAGTATTATTGTTTATGAAAGTCGTGTCTTTTTTATTTCTCACACTTGTTTGTTTTTTTCGCTCAAACGTAATTCTCACCATATTGGCGTTTATAGGCATTTATACAATCATAAAATGGTGTTAAATTCATATACTTTTTAGAGTGTATAATATAATAATGTTATATTTCAAGCAATGCGGTAGCGTCGCTGTATCAAGTACATACCTATATCCATTTCAAGATTAATGAGAAGAAAAAATAATTTTTGACAAAATTGAATTCATGCCCTTTTTTATAATAATTCCCCGATTTATCTATACGAAGTACACAGTTAATTTTAATTAGAAATTAAATTATGTATAAATTTAAATAGATTGTGTAATATTATAAATGGTTAAATACACTGCCTTCGAAAAGTTTCTGGACAGTAGCAAAATTTTTATGTTTTGGAATTTTGAATCGTTGAACTTACAGCACTGTGCTAAACCACAGAGTAGATGATTTTATCATTTTAAGAGATACTTTAAGATACTGTGTATTAATTTTAAGTTTAATGCATCTCTATTACTGTAAAGCAAGAATGCATTAAACTTAAAATCAATACAGAATATCTTAAAGTATCTCTTAAAATGATAAAATCATTTACTCTTTGATTTAGTACGGTGTTGCATTAATAATAAGTTCAACAACTTAAAACTCCAAACATAAAAATTTTGCTAGTGTCCGGAAATTTTTCGGCGGCAGTGTATATTTGTAAAACTAAGTGAAAAATTTTTTAATTATATAGCAATTGTATTATAATTATACATATATTAAAGCTTAAGCTAGGATATTTGATCTGTACAATATCAGTTAAAAGCTATCATCAAAATTTAAAATATAGGTTTCTTACGTTTGTATCGTCTAAAAGATGAAATAAATAATTTTACATTAATAAGAAGTTAAACTTTCGTGAAATAACATGATTTTTCATGTCACCAAGAACAGAAATATTTATAATTAATATTTTTTCTAATCAACAATAAAAAATTTTGGTAGTGATTACACCTTGAAATCAACTGTAAGAAACGAAATAATGAATAATTTATAAGATGATTATCGGTTACTACATGCAACGAATAATTTAAATATACATTTAATATTAAAAAATAAACAATATATATTATAAATTAATAATTTTAAAACAAAATATAAGCCTGAAATATATTATTTAATATTGGAGTAAAATATGGCAATATTGCATTATTTTCTACGTTGGTGTTACTGCTTATCAAGCTTCGAGTGTAGTTCTTCTAAAATGTCGAAAAATATATATCGTTGGAAAGGAAAATAGGTTTCGGAAATTGTATACAAAAATGAATGAAACAAAGCGGAAACTGCGTCGCCAAAAATGAAAAATTATTAACAATAAGCTCTCCTATTCAAATTAATCTAAATAATAAGTTTAATGACTTTTTGGAAGGACGTCGTATTATTGAATTTGCTGTTTTGGCAAAGCAAATGTAATGCATATCTTGCAAAGAAGCACTTTCGCTTGAATCTATTAATTAAAAATGCGAGATGAAAAAGATTGGGAACGATATTGTTGATCAGATGTCATAAATGTTTATTGAATGTTGTCAAATCGCATAGATGAAAATGGCTTATGCAGCGCAATATGCATATTTTACTGCAATTTTACGTAAATAACTTTTAAACAAGTAAGTGAACTTTTGCACAAATATTCATTAGAGTCATATTAGTATATATACATAGAAAATTTGATTTAATTCTTATAATGCTATTTGCTTATCAAATTTGAAAATAAGTATTACAAAACGCGATTTTATATAAGAGAATCAAGAGTAAGTACAAAATTAAATAACTTAAATCAATAAGAAAATCATGCTCAAATTTTACCTAGTTCCTCAGATGTATTAACAGAACAATCTGTAAAATTTTTATATTTTTCGTAATGTTTTCAGATGTGACCTTAAATACTAATGTGTGTCAAAAATATTATTTGTGTAAGTCCATTATATATCCATAATCGATTTGTAGAGAACATCTATCATGGATACAACATGGATGTTTATCGGAAAAATTCTAACTTCTACGAAAAGTTCTACCGTGCTGATAAATATCATACTATGAAAGTTGTATGTGTATGTACAAATACCGGTGGTACTATAACTTACAAGCTTTATAGAGATTTACTTAATCAAAAAATATTATATCAAAGTAATTTTGGAAAGCTCTTGACACCAGCTATTAGATTCTGGAATAAAAAATAGGGTGTTTCATTTAATAAAATTAATGTGACCTTTACTTGACCTTGGTGACGCTGCTCAAAGTCAAACCGATAAGACCAGTAATAGATTTTTTTTTAAGCTCTACAACTTTTGTTTGAAGCATTTTTCTGTAAGACTTATATTTTCCGAGATATTCTGGGGTCCCGCCTTTTTGGAACATCCTGTATGTATATAAAGGTGCATCTTTTTTAGGAATAAATCTTAATTTCCCTTCTTTCTTTTCTTGTTTGAACATATCACAGATTGTTTACTTGTGCGTTTATAAGCAATCAGTCTGCAAGCAATCTACCTTCTACTTTGCAAAGTAGACTTTTAATTGTTACACCTGTAGAAGATTTGTGTTGATGAACGTCAATTTATTCGCTCAAAAATTAATTGAGCTATCAGTCTTTTAATAAAATAAAAAGTTATTATAACATTGTGAAAAGAGGTGACATTTTTACACGACTAGAAAAATTACAATGTAAAATTAATTAGTTTTTTTTCTCTAAGAGTATTTTGTGGAAATTTTATTGGTCTATGAGATAATACTAATATATTAATTACTCTTTTAGAGAAAAAAATGTGTAACTAATTTTACATTGTAATTTTTCTAGTCATATAAAAATGTCACCTTTATGTATATTCATATTGTTGAGAGATACGTATGCGTTCGATACATATTCGGTATATTCGTTCTTGTGAGACATACTGTTTGAATTGAATATGTCGACGTTGAGTTTTTGTTCTTGTTGATTAACGACCGATTCGATCCGATTCAATTCCTTGTCCCTGACGTGTCTATTTAAAAGCTGAGTTAATGTTCAAATCGAGTTTCACAAATAAAGTTCAATTCTACGAATTAAGTCTCAATTGCCTACGTGACTTAACACATATATTTAGTGATTTGGCATTTTTACATTTATTTATTCAATATTCAACAAATATAAAATTATTCACACACATACTCTTTCTCTTTTAAATTTTATTTTAATAAAATTAGAAATTAATAAAATTAATTGAAAGAAATGTATATCAAATTCAAATTATTGAATAAAACAATAAATTAAAATCCTAATAAAGAAATCTAAGAAGTACAAATATATATGTATATCATAAAAAAGATATTACATATTATAAAAAATATTTAATTTATTAAGACCTGAATAATATAATACTGATTATTTGCCAACTAAGGGTTACATTTTACTTAAGAAACTTCATTTCTCTCAAATAAGATATGTAATCTCTCTAATAATAATTACAATTATATATAATTTTTGCATGAATATACTATATTTATTGTAATATCACAATACAATTTTTGCTTTCATTAATAAATAATATATTTTATTATTAGTTAATAATGTTAGGGATATTTAGCTCATAAGAATAAAATTAATAATGTTATTGAAAATAGAGTTTGTCAGTAAAGTTGTAATAAACTAAATTATATTTTTTTCATATTTTACTTCTACATATTTTTTATATTTCTGATTACTATTCTAATAGTAAACGAATTAACTATTAATCTAACATTAAGTATTATGGTTCTTTTTCATCATGTAAAATATGCTTCTTTATCATGTGATATCCCATTCCAACAGTCAAGCAAGCTATTGTTAATCCTTGTGCGGCAACTCGGAATTGTATTAAATATAATTGTGTAGACATTTTTCTCTTCCTAAAAGCATAGGCACCATATCCACAAGTGCCCACTAAACATATCAAACCTAGTTACAAAGTAATATATATATTAAATATTTATGAAAAATGTTTATATCTTTGTATGCTTTACAAAAATTCACATACTTGCAACGAGAAATGGTGATCTTCGTCCCTTCTCTAGCAATCTCTCTGACAAAGTTTGATCTATTATTGTATCATCATCAGTAGTAGCCATTTTTGAAAAGAAAAATAATGGTAACTAGTATTCACCAAAACCTGAAATTTGATTAATTTTAGATAAATTTGATTATAAAAATTGCATAGATTAAAGATTTGGAGATAATAAGATATTTTCGAAAAATATAACTTATAGATAGTTTTGTTTATAGATTTATTACTTTTGTTTAAATTTAAATATTAAATTAATAAAGGTAAATATGTCCACACAGATATACACATATCTTGTAACTAATTCATACAAAGGCTGTGTTCTGATATTTACTGTTAGTGCTGAAAATCTATAGTGCACATAACGTATATTATAGATTTTCAGTACTTGCAATGAATATCAAAATGTAGCCAAAGTAGAATATGTTTTTGTATGTACATATTACATCATAAGTGTTTCATAATTTCACTGCTTATACATTTTTATATTTTTCTTTATTTTATCATTTAAATTTAAATATATTTCTATAAGTTCTAAGTATAAAAGTGTATAAAAATTATTGTTAAAAATGAAATAATTTAATATTTCTACAGTTTTCAGTAACATAGTTAAGATGTGACTATTGATTTTAATTACGCGTACTTAACTGATTGAAGGTTATCGCAATGATTCATGGTCTGTCAATCAATTTCATATTTTTCTCGATATTATAATTAAAAATTACCATAGATATTATATTTATAATAATTAGCTTATCAGTGATAAAACAAACTAAAAAATAAAATATCTAATAAAATAATTTATCGTCTTAACGCATCACAATATTACTTTAAAATTTAACCTAAATCTATATAATACTTTTTTAATAGAAAGCTTCAATATAAACATAAATTATTTTAGTTTTTATATCGCTACTAAATATTTGCGTTACTATATCAACATTTTTTTTATTTCTTAACTAATAAATTACATATTTTTCTACACTAATTTATCATTTAATTACAAGTTTTTGATCATTTTATTCGTGTATAAAAATATGAATCATCAATATTTATGGAAATTAGAAATAAAGTCAGGTATTTCAACAATCTGTGCTCACTTTCGTATATGTAATAAATTGTACATGCAATAATGAAAAAATATCGAATAAGAATAAACGACCACCTTCGTACCACTTCGCACGAATGTCAGGAGATAGAAGACCCGAGAGAGAGATTGAGCGACAGCCGACACGGACAGATTTCACAGATCTTATCGTCGTGTGTGTGCATATGTAAGTACGTCATTGACCATGTGACCAGCACAATTTAACTAAGGCCGATTTCATAGGGTGCATTTCATTTAAGATGGTTCTTTAGTCTCGGAAACATAACAGGTGTAAGCTTTAAGCTTTAAGACGTTTAAGAAATTAACCAATCATAATCGATTATTCTCTTCATATTCGACTGCGATTGGTCCATTTCTTACGGCTTAAGACTTACTACACCTATTGTGTTTCGAGACTTAGGGCGAATTCACACCTTGACAGAAAAGCGGAAAACAGAAAAGCAGAAGCCAATCAGAACTCGCGTTGGTAGTTAATAGATTTTGCTTTCTGCTTTTCTTGCTACCAGTG